CTTTCCCTATGAAAACAAACAAACAAAAAAACAGTTACAAAGTTGCCATCACTATGGGAGTCCATTCTAAAGAGCATATTCTTGATTCAGTTACAACTGCGGTATTCTTAACAACATTGATTTATTTAACAATACATATTACTGAGACTCTACTTTGCTGTCATGCAGTGTTCTAGAAATTGGACCACAACAGCTAAAAAGCAGACGAAGTTCTATCTTCTTAAAGCTCACGGTCTAGTGCAGGCGGAGAAAATTAAAAAATGGGCCAGCAGGTGTGGTGGTTAAGGCACTGGACTCCCACATGGTGGACTGTGGTTCAATTCCCAGACCCAGAAGCCTGAAAGTCACACTGAGCACACGTGCCTAAAATCCTGAGGGGAGACTGGAGAAGGGACTGTGGAGGGGCCATCTCTCCTAGGGGGTGATTTCTTACTTTCCCTCTTTCTGTCTCTCTCCAGTGAGCACATGTACCCCATGACAAAAACCTAAAAAAAAAAAGAAAGAAAAAAGAGAGAGAGAGGGAGAGAGGAAACAAAGTTAGGTAGATGGGCAGATAGATCATTTCTGATAGAGATATAGTTTCAGGTAGTGATGAGTGCTATAAAAGAAATGCCCAGAGCCAAGTGAGAGAGAGTAACTGAGGTTGGAAATTTCTTTCGGATAGTGGATTTGATCAGAAATCTGAAGACTGTAAAGAAGCTGGCCACTGAAAAAGGAGAAAGAAGAGAACGCAGCAATAACATTTCATACAACAGTCACGATACAGGACAAACCTTGCCTTGCTGTATTTAACAGAGAGGTTGGCAGTCACGATACAGGACAAACCTTGCCTTGCTGTATTTAACAGAGAGGTTGGGAGCCAACAAGCGATGTGACTGGGGTGCTGGACACGCAGAAAAGCTAAGACTGCAGTGATTAAAGTTTCTGTGCCAGTCCACTTCAGCTACCACTTTAGACCTTTAGTTACCCTATCTTTGACTCCGTTGACTATTAAAAGGGAATAGTAATTCAAAAGGCTATTTCCTCTGTCTTGTCTTACTACTTCAGAACAAGTTAGGCAGGCAGGAGCCTCCATCCCCTACCTGTTTGAAGCTTTTTTTTTTTTTGAGAGAATTTTGCTATAGGGTGCATGCTTGCCAGGAGGGAGAGAGGCAGAAAGTGGAAATCACCCTCTGCCCCTCATGGGGATGACCACACCTCAATCCTTTCTCTGCCTCCTCCTCTCGAGATTTTGGACACACATGCACCGGGTGTTGAGTTTTAAGCTGCTGGGTCCAGGACTCGAACCACAGTCAATTATGTGGGAGTTCAGTGACATAACCATTACACCATCTGCTGGTCCCTGAGGTTTTCTTACCCTGCCAAATACAGCAATTGTGCTGAGCACAAAAGATAGATGTTTTCATCAATTCGCTAATAACAGAACTATCAATAATTAACATCATTGATCTAAACTACTTATTCATGGGTTAACTTTTTTCCTCAATAAAATCAGTCTTTGAAAATACCTGAGCAGTTTCTTCTGTTGGTTGAAAAGCCAATTTTTTTTTCAGTTCATGGAGCTGACAGGCAAGGTAGTAACATTCCCTTCTCAGCTGCAGGATGATATCTTGAGCTTCTCTCACTTTGGATTTTTCATTTTCCAGAGCCAAGACTAACATTCTGTTGTTGTCCTGGTATTTTTTCAGTAGGGAAGATGTATTGGCTAAGAGGATTAAAAAAAAAAAAAAAAAAGATCAATGATTAAATTTAAACTTAAAAAGTAATGGAAGAGGTTAACGTAAAATCCTCTTACTGGTTATTTGGCACGGTGCAGCTATAAAAGACTTGCGTTTGCCAACCTCTGCCAGGTTTTTATTTCTTTTTTCTTTCATTCGCTTTTTTATGTCTTCAAGACTGTCTTGAAACGACTTTTTCAGGCATCTTTCCTTGGCCATGTTTTGCCTAGAAATTTAAAATACTAAAAATATTTAACTGTTCTCAGAGACAATACTGTTAAACATAAAATTTAGTATTAAAAACAGATTATTCATAAAGAATAGATCAAATAGAGACTTAGCTGTAGACTGAGTTTACAGGAGAGAGCTAGATAACCTGGTCATAACTTGAATTTCACAGCTTTTTAAGTTTTTGCCATAGGCCATGTGCGCTCACCAAAGAGAGACAGACAGAAAGCAAGAAAACACCCACCCCAAGGGCAAAGGCCACACACGGTTCCTTCTCCTCCATTCTCCTCTTGGGATTTGGGGCAGACACACACAGGTGCCCGGTGTGATTTTTTAACCCTCCAGGTCTGAGACTTGAACAGTGGTTAGTCATGTGAGATTCCATCACTTTAACCACCATGCCACCTGCTGGCCCCAGATTTGCAGCTTTACAAATCTCTTTAGTATTTCTAGCATACTCAGGCACTTTGTAGAAAAAGTTCATCAAATACGGATTTCCAACCCAAAGACTATGGTTTTTATTCATTTTTTAACAATTACCTAGTCGAGGCTTACTATATGCTGGGCACTATGGGAAACGTTTACTATTATATTTTAATGCCATTAGTATTTGTTTCTTACAGACAATGGGTATGACCAATTTTAGTGCTTAGGTTACAGCATTAGTTCAGAGGCAATTGCAGATCTAGGTTTCGTTTTCCAGCTCTTCAGTTATCAGGTTAGGGCATTCTATTACTTATCTCTCTGTTCCACACTGTTAACTCATGTCACCTAAGATACGCAGTCTCATGAAAGTCAAGGTGAATCTCGGAAGTTTAGATGAACTATGATGCACAGCATAGGATTTTAACATGACAGAATAATGACAGAGCTGGAAAGAGAAGGAAGCGGTGCAGAAGAACACATCAATATTCTCAAAGTTGCTGCTAAAACCCAGGGCTGTTAACTCCCAGTACAATATGAACATAAGACATTAAAGATTGACCTAGAGTTAAAAGTTGCCAACGTGTACTGACAATGGGATATGCTGAGTATAAGCACATAATAAGCACACCTGTTTCATACAACAATCAGGAATACATTTCTCACCATAAAAGATATAATCATCTCTTCTAGAAGTCAAATATGTTCCTAAACCTTACATTGTTTAAAGTATTTTCTCCAGGCCTTTTTCTCTTCTGTGCAACGTCTGGGATCTTAAATAAGCTACTGTAGATCCCATGTAAATATTTCCTTTCTACCAATGAATAGACATAGTCTGGTGGTTTCCAGTAGAGGAAGCCAACTATTTTTTAAAGCACTAATGCTGGGTGGGTCATAGAAAATAATCTAACTCAATCAAGTTTCTGAAATTTGAACCTGAGATGTTTGAGAGCCACACAGATTTAAGTAGCTGATCCAGTTAGTTATGGTATTTAAAAAGCAAGGCCTTATCTAAAAAAAACCTTTTGTTATTCTATTGAATTAAGTTAAAATAAGCAAAGGAATTCTTGTTTAGGAGCTTTATTTCCCGCCTGGTCGATGCGTTAACGGGAGATGTAGTAAAAAAGAACTAATGGAAGCGGAGGTCACAGACCGGCGGCCCAATCTGTACTGCCTTCGAGTAGGGGGGCTGGGTTCCAAAGACCCTGTAATATCTGATCTCTGTACACGGTTCTCTGATCGGTCCTGCAGCCGGCGGAGCCAGGCCAGGCTGCCCGCCCATCGCAATGCACAAAGCCGCTGCGTTTCGGTGCGTGTCCCCTACGCTGGGCCTGGCGTTAGCTACGGGACAGACTGCATTTGCACATCACCTAATGCACCCAACTCCGCAAGGCGGGACGGTAGCGTCCCCATTGAAAAGTCGAAACTGCAACGTCGGAAAAAGCAGATCGGGTGCCTGGGCGGCACAAAGCACCCGCCTGATTCCACCGCTCGAGCTTTTTTGGCTACCGAATTTAGAACGGTACTGCGACGCTGCAGGAGGTGCCCAGGGGGCCACCGCGCCCCTGTCCCCACACCCGAAAAACCTGCGGCCTCCGGGAGTGCCAGGCCGGAGGGGACCGTCCTCCCGCTGGCGCGTCCAGAGCGGTACCTTGGCGACTGCTCTGGCCGCAGCTGTCCTTCCTCCTTACATGCCCAGGCCCGGGAGGCTGTGCTGCGCGGAGCCCCGCTCTCGGGGTCTGGCAGGTCCGCGGCTCG